ACTTGTTTTTTTTACTTTTTTGCACAATTTCACAGTGAACACAATGCCGGTTTGTCACATGAAATTGACTGAGCAGAGAACAATGAGTAGCTGTCAAACAAATGAGTAGCAGTCAAACAAAAAATATTAGTTTGTAGTACATGTTAAGTATCAGAAATGACGCTGTATGTGAAAAAAAGAAAAAGTGTTTTCCGCTTTTCTGTTGAAATCTTTCTTCAATTTTCTTTGCTATAAACCTTGCGGACCTTTCCAACGAATGCAAAATTGTCAAAATCGGTTCGTGCGTTCTGGAGTTATATCGTCAGGAAGGAAAACCCGACTTATTGTTATATATATATGCAGATTATCTATGGTTACAATAATAAAACGTATTTCAGATAGAAATATATTGTGGGATTTTTTTTTAATTTAAAATTTTATATCATTGGTCTTCGATTTAACAATTTTATGTTTAATTTATTTTCCTAATTATATTAGGAAAACAATTTAAATTCGCTAAGAATGAAAACTAATTAAATAGTTTAATAAGCGAATTCATAGAGTAAAATTCTTCTAACATTTTTTTCCTGGTAATAGACTGCATTATATGGTAAAAATTTCTCACTGATTCTTAATAAAAAATAATAAAAATAGAGAAATATTTATTCATCACTTTGTTCCAAATTTTAACGAACAATTCAATCATAAATATACACTTTTTAATTATTTTAGCGGATTTATTATAAATCAGCTTATGATTTCATAAAATTGCTTTTATGGAAAATTTGGATGAGTTTTATCAATTTTTGTTTACGCACTTTGAGGCAGCTATGGCCTTGATTTCAAATTATATTTGGTATAAAAAAGTTTTTTTTTTAAGTTTTATTGAAATGCATATTTATCATAGACATCATACTACAATAAGGCTTAGGATATTTATACTTCAAGCATATATATTAAAATATGATCAAAAGTCCAAAAATGCTGAAGAAGTTTGGTACCTTCTTGACTCTTATTTATGTAGATGTAGAGACATAGCAATTTAGTATTTGCATACGTGAATAAATAAAAACAAATATATATATATATATATATATATATATATATATACATTCTGTAGCATATTTAATAATAATCTTGTTTATTAATATTAATATTAACAACCCTACTTTTGTTTTGATAAATTCATGTGCCGCATGAAAACAGCAGTAAAAATTTATTTACCATAACTACTTACAATTTAAAATATCATCCAAATATTCTACTTTATACTTCTATATGAATTTATTAGAATATTTTTTACTTAAAGTATTATTTGATGATTATTTGTTACAGTCGTTCGAGGTTTTTCGCAGGTATTTGTCGATAGCGATAATTGGTTGATCTCTGATTAGATACGTTTCTTGTATGACATTAAATTTGTTTTTATAAAAATCAAAATATCACTACATGTAGTAAATTAAAGCTTTTAATTCACATATATCGTAAATAAATTATATACGATGAATTAACTTGTAAAAAGACGATCAAAAGCACGGTTTATAGATAAGAGAGTAATTGCTCTATACTCACGTAATTTTAAATTTTTAAGGAATAACCGACATGAATGATTTACAATATAGGTTTAGAGGTATAATTGTTTTTGAGATAATCATATTTGGGTATACTAAAATACAATGATAAGTAAATGAAAAATATGTTACGAAACCAAAAAGTTTCCACTCACTTCTTGAATTTTGTAGCTTGTGCGCACAACCTTGCGCCTGACCTCTCCTTCATAAGATTCCTCTATGGTTTCCGCCATAATTACTATTTTTGTAATAAAAAATTACCAAAAAACAATTTAATCACTTTTCACTCGCGACGTGAAACACGAACTATAAAGAAATTTTATTCTGCAAATTCTATCAACTTTTAGATGTTATATTAAGTTTATTTAATATTTTTATATAAGTAAAATTTAAGCTATATTTAGCAACCGTTGCGCCTGTAGGAAGCACGCGTTAGTACTGTCGAACAGAAATCCCTCTTCATGTAACGAAAATGAAAATTTGAAGACGTATGTAGTAGTTTATTTTATACGAACAACGCGCTTTTGGTGGAATAAGCTTTAGGTGCATTTAAGAATGTATTATGCGATATAAAAACCGCCTGGCTTATATATCATACTGTATATAATGTTGGAACAACCGTTGTCCTTGTCAGATGATCCTATTAAAATTACTGACGTAAGAAATATTGATGTTATGTATTCTTTTAGGGATATTACAATGACAATTAAATATATTAAATTTAAATATTTTGTAGTAATTAATTATTCTGATCAAAATTATTGTTATTATTGCTATTAGTATTCTTATGAATACGTGCTAATGGTGTCTATATTTAGGTCTATAAATTTGTGTTTAAATGAGCGGGCAAAAATCATTTCTATGATAAATAACTTATATTTGATTTTCTTAATTACTCAAAACAAATACAATTTGAAGTTATAACAAAAGTCGGAATATTAAAAAAAAAGAGTGCGCGTAAGGTTCACATGCAATTAAAGTAAAACTTATTTACAAAATGGCATTTAAGTAAAAATAAATACATCATATAACATGTTTGAATAATGTTTATTAGGAATATGGCAACACTCATGATGCACATATTTATTAGTGTCAACCATTCTATACATTCATATAATGATAAATCATAAATTATATATTTATAATAGCATTGAAGTTATACTTCAAACATGGCATGATCGGTTTGTCATTGTAATTAGCATTTAGAAATGAATTTTCATTAGAGAAATGAAGTAATTGCTGATTAATAAATTCTATAATATTTGTTCACACAGTGGATTATGTTAAATAACGCCTAAACAAATATTGTTTTTGAAGAACTTCATGTAATTAAAATTAACATACATTCATTGACTGCTTGTATATATTTTTTTTTACTTTTTCGCTGGAGTTATAATCTCGTTCTTTAAACAGCTGTAATATCTGTCTTGTCTAAAAAATATTTTCCATTTTAATAACTTCAAAGATTTATAGAAACTACGAATAATATAAAAATAATTTATAATCAATAAACTTGCGTTTAGTACACGGCACAAATATTTAATTTGATTTATTATTTTCAAGTGACAGGGTAAAATTTTCTTCTGATTCAGGCATTTTTCATTAAATCAAGATTTGTACTACGATGTGACTTTAAAATGATTATTTATCTATGCCGATTTCCTTGTTGATATCGGTATGCATACAACGTTGACACCGGTACGCATACAACGACAGATCTCTATTCACATACACGATGACTAATCACAATCGACTCGTATAGAAATGATCTCATCGAGAGCGAATGACGAACAGTTCGGCCGTAACGGACTTCCGTTGCATTTGTACGGATTTACACTCTAGTCGCGTCTAAAGAAGTTTTACTTCAAAAATAATAGATGTATCTTGGATTTTACAATAAATTGATTAATGTTTTCTTCATCCTTATTGTCTGAAGAATGAAGGTCTCATTTTTCATACCTATATAGTTTAATTTTATAAAAAATATTAATATTTATTAATTTATCTATAATATAAAAATGAATAGCAAAATGTGTTGGTAAGCGCATAACTGAACAACGCCTGGAACAATTGGGCCAATTCTTTTTTTTAAATGTTCGTTGAAGTCCAAGGATGGTTCTTACGGCAAGAAAAAGTCGAATAATTGCCGGAAAAAGCATAAAAATAGCCTCTTTCTTTTCCACATACAAATGTTTTCTAACTAAAACGTAGAATCAATTTGAGCTTTAATTTTTTTATAATGCGTAAAAAATAAGGTGAATTAGAGAATTTATGAAGGTAAACTGGAGGATATGTAAAATGGTAGAGAGGAGAACTGGTAGATAGAGGAATATGTAAACAAATTAACAGGTTGATAGGTTAATTGGTAGACATGTAGAACGGGATGACAGGTGAATTTGTAGGCCGGTAAAATGGTAGATTGATAAACAGGTTGATAGATAACTTAGTAGACAAATTGATAAACATGTTAATTGTTCAACAGGTAATTTTTGAACAGGTTAATTGGTAGACATTTAGAACGGGATGACAGGTAAATTGACAAGCAGGTAATGTGGTCGACAGGTAAAATGGTGTATTGATAAACAGGTCGTTAGGTAAATTGGTAGACAGGTGAATTTGTAGACAAGTAAATTGGTGAAAAGGTCATTTGTTGGATAGCTGGTGGTCAGGTAAATGGGAGGATATGTAAAATGGTTGACAGGACAACTGGTAGATAGACAAATAACAAAACGGATAAACAGGTTGACAGGTAAATTGGTAGACATGTGAAGCGGGTTGATAGATAAATAGGTTGACAGGTAAATTGGTAAGTCGGTAAAATGGTATATTGATTAACAAGTTTATAGGTAAATTCATAGACAAATTGTTGAATAGGTAAATTGTTGAACAGATAGTAATAACGTTGTACTAAATGTAACAAATACACATCTTTGTTCAACTTTTTAATTTAAACTAAATCACGGCAAAGCGTGAACGGGTACAACTAGTAATGAATAATAATTATTAATTATTATTATTATTATGTAGATTATAATCTACATATGTGATATTTGCAATTAATTTAATACATTTATTAGACTAGAGTTCAATTTTTTATAAATAATTGCAAACATGTTTCGTTATCACAAACACATGCAAGTATCAGCATTCGTCGCGATCGATCGCACGAACACCGGCGATTACGTACGAACGAATCTTACAAGAATCCCGCTTTCTACAATATTACAAATTATTTGAGTTACGACTTTGACAGCGTTTGGACGTCTAAACGTACGTAATAAAAACAAATACCATAATAAATAAATTTTTTAAATATTAAATTTATAACTACATTATATTACATATTTATAAGATGATCATTTATATTTCAATCATATACTTTTTCATTCCCAATCACCTATGTAAACAAGTTGATAATTCATAGTTCCATCTTCTTTTTTTCAGAAAGTGTCATCAAAATAAAATTACATTATTTATTAATTAAGTATTAACGTGTCGATTAATAAAAGTGATAAGTGAAAGTTCAATAATTTGATCAATTAGTTTCCGATAAAGATAAAATGGGTTCCCCGGGCACTGTTGATGATATACTAAACTTCAAAAAGGACGACGAGGATGATCTTTACAAACTTTTGGGTTGCGATGAGAACTCCACTGTAAGTAGTAGAATTTTATTTATGAGAATGGATAAAAATATACTTTTAGTATTTTTTAAAAATATATTTTTAAGCGAAAATATTCATTTTTGTTATTGCAGTTAGGTAAAAATATATCAATTAAATTAAATATGCTAATAAAAAATTAAAATATTTATGATATAGATAAAACAACCATTTGGTTGCCGTCTGAAAACTATTTAGGAACTATCATCACAAAGCACTTTTATGTTCTTTTAAAATTAAGTGCATTTTTGTTTGTTTCCTGAAATTGCGTTATTATCCTTGGAAACTTGTAATGTTTCAAAGCGAAAAATTTTTTTTTAGAAAATTTTAAATAAAAAATTAAATATGGATAGGACAATCATTGGGCTATTGTACAAATAAAAATAAAAATGTTTTTGGTAATTTTAAAATAAAGGGTCCGCCGTCAAACTACTAGAATTACTACTAGACAGGATAAAATCCTGCAAGCAAGTTTTTAATTCAGAACAAAATAAATCTATTACCATTAACTAATTCTTCCCTAACCTATTAATTCCTTTAAACTGATGTTGTTTCATAATACGAGTTTGTGAACTTGTTGCTTTTTCCGAACGGTGGTTTGCTTTTGGCTTTTGTTACTCTCTGACAAGGGTTGTTGTTCTTCTACATCCAAAAAGGCCAAAGGTTATTCGAGTCATCCCTTACGCCCACAAAGACGGCGGTAGGTGGTACAAATTAAATTCAACATTTTCACTAAAAAAATAGTGATAGAATAGTATCAAGAAATTGTTTCTATTATGTGTCAAATGTACAATAAATAGAAATTTACAGGAACAAGTTATATGATGATAATTATTATTTAAGATGATTAAGATAATTTTGTTTTTAATTACAAAATTAAATACCATTAGGTTTTTAATACAATTATTCAAAACAAACAATTTTGTTTGCGGATAAACGTAACCTTGAAAAACAGCGAGATAGTTGTTTTACGTTAATCTTTTATAAAGCATATATACTGATTCATTCACATGTATATATTTACATATGTGCTAAAATATTGTTATGAGAAACTGAAGCAAATCCATTATGAATATTGAAAAAGTAAGCATGAATACGAGGAATGAATTCATTTCCATTATTTTGTTCCAAAGATAATTGTACAGCTTTAACATAGTTATATTTGAATAATATATACGTCCGTCTTTCTACCTATAAGAAATGACATTCCAAAAATTAAATTAAAATATATATAATATAAATAAGAACAGTAGTTTATATTTTGATCGAATAAATATTTAAATAATAAAATTACTTTCTATTTTGCAAATTATTTTATTTTATGACCTTAGACAAATAAAAATTCTGAAGAGGCAATAAATAATATTATATTATCGTGAATCTATGAATTTAAAACCTTGGTCAGTTTATAATTGCGACAGAAGACACTTTTTTACATTTCGTTAAATAATTGGAAAACTTTGTTCAGGATTTTTTTTTTTATTAGAGTTTTAGAAATTCTAAAATTTACTAAAAATCTATGAAAACAATAGATGGATACATTACAATATGAAAATTTTATTATAAACAAAGATAAAAATAGAGTATATAGTTTAATGCATAATTATTATGCTTTTGTGATGATACTTTACAACTACGTGTCCAATACAGTTAGTATTGCAAATTATTTTGTTATGACCTTAGATAAATAAAAAATGCTGAGAGGCAATTTATTAACATGAAATGACCGCAAACATTCGAAAAAAAGATATAAAAACTGTTCAACCATGTACAACCGACCTTTTATATAAATAATTCGCTGTAGAAATTTTAGATCTCATTTTCAATTAAACAACAAGCGAGTAGACAAGCTAAGTTAGTTTTTCGCCGCTGTAAAAATGTTAAAAAAGTATTTGCAAATAAAATCTAAACTAACAATAAGACTTTTTTAACATCTTCTATTTTTTTAATTTTTTATTGTTTCTACATGGTAGATACAATATATATACAACATATAAAATTATTATTATTTTTTGTTGCAAATTTTATTTGTATATATGTATAAATTAATAATTTTATATTTTATTCATTATTCACAATATATTAATTATATATAAATAATTCAAATAATAATTAAATTTACTACTAATAAATAAAATGATATTTCCAATTTATTTCACCAGACACAGTTTAATATTTGTTTTTATTACTTCATAAAAACATATGCAGACATTATATGACATAATAACTTTGGTGACAATAAAAATTTGACTATCGGAGCCCCTGATATTGATTTTTCTTCCCTGAGATAATATGAATTTACAGGTGAATATTACAAGCGATAAAATGTACCATGAAAAAAGCATGAGTGCGATAAAAGTTATGATACCATAAAATATAATGTAGAAGAGTATTAAATATTAAAAATTAAAAACGGGGTTTGAGAGGTGGAATTTTTTATGCAAAGTGAGATATGCAAGTAAGTAAAAAATTTTCGCTTGTATATTAGCCAATGACTCGTACAATTAAAATTAGGTAATTTTGTACCTGTTAAATATAAAATTCATTTTATCTATTAAAGCTCACACCTCAAACTCGAGTACTGAATTTGAATCCTGCCACAGAACGTAAACAGTTATATAACAAGTGATTAAATTGGCTAAGATTCATTACATTATTATGGCCTTCAGTGTCTGATTTCTGAAATGCATTTGATCCTTCTAAATTCTCCGTAATTCCCTTATTCGAGAGAAGAAGCGAATCCTATTTGATTGTGCCACTAATTAGAATGGAATTAACGGAGAAACAGACTGATGAGATCAACAATTAGTTAGTTTGCTACTGAAGGGTATCTGATTATCAACTGTGTCGAGGGTAATTTGATTTACTTTTATACCTTTCGAGAAATATAATCGAAAAACTTACAAAAAAATATGATATGTTAAATTAAACATGATATATTACATGTGTTCGCGCCATATCAAAGGGTGCGATTTATATTGATATAAAACAAAATATCATCAATCCAAAATCATATGAAAAATCAATTCAATCAATACGTTATCAAAAACAATATTGAAATTATTATAAATACGATTATAACTTGTAATTAACATGAAATAAATACATAAAGTTACTAGTTAAAGTGTTTATAACAAATTTGGTCCTTCAAAATTCAATCAAACAACCTCAAATTGAAAAAACAACATGTGATATAAATAATACACTGTAAAGCTTGCAATCTGGATATTCGCGTTTTTCAGGTTAACTTGTCGGCTAGTTTAGAAAATCTCTTGCATTACTAGTGGGCCAATAATCAAAGCTCAAAATAGATGAATTATTATTTCTTAGTCAATTGTTATAAAATACGACTTATTAGTATTTCTAATTTATTTATTAATATGTCTTTCCAATAACGTTGGCAGAATTTTTTTTAATGATATTTTACTATCAACCCATTAAAAAAGTACTATTCTGGCAGTCATTTAGCGATTGCGTCTCATCCTTTCAATTTGTGAAAATGTCAAAAAAAATTTTTTCATAATTTGCTCCCACAAGGCTCAAATTTTGAGGGTGTATTCTTTTAACTGTTCAGAAAGCACATGTAAAAAGCCAGCCCATGCTGACGGTTGCAAGGGTCTACCAGTGGAGTAAATATCAATAATTAGTATTTCAAATTACCACATAGTCATATTTAAAAGAAAAAACATATGTTTCGGGTTTTAACGTGCTGTCGCATGCGGTTTGTATCTTGGGAAAACCATTCTTTTATATATAAGGAAACATTCTTTGGTCTTCTTAGTAATATAATAAAATATAAAAATCTGAAGCTCAAATTGGTTGTGCAGTAAAGCTAATAATGTTAATGATAAAAATACGGTTTTCAAATTGTTTGATTGTATCTAGAAAATTATATGTACAGTATATATATATATATATATATATATATATATATATATATATACATTATACAGATTTTGCCATCAACTCGGCGTCAAAGGTCAAGTTCAACAATACGAAATTTGTTAAGACTATCTGTTTTGTAAATTCTGATTAAAATAATTATATTATTGCATATTATTATTTAATAATGATGAAACTTTACTGAAATACTTTATATGATCTATTTTGTTAAATCTAAAGTTTTGTTATTAAAATATTTTATACCGTTCTTCATAATTCCAAATTTTATTTTTTGAGTTGATATTTGAGTGTGTGTATTGTTTGCTTATGTATCGTTTACCCCCTACTTCATTTATTATTAATGCAGAAACCATTAATATTTAAAATCTAAATTTGAATATTTCCTCCTACTTCATAAATATGTATGTTAAAATTCATCATAACATCTCGTAGAATATTCAAGGGCTTTTGTATTCATCAAAAGTCGATATTTTATCATCACAAATACCGCATCAAATATTCATGTTGCTGTTTTGTCCCGAATCAGGAACAGATTCAACAATGGATGAATGGATGGGACATGTCGACTACAATAGATACAAAGATACAAAGCTTTTGCAAACTCATAGTCAATATAATCAATACGATACATATCGATATTTTGGCATCTATACATATGCAGATATAATAATACTAAAAGTCTGAAATGGAAAAGTATTGAAACCTCACAATCAGTTCATTTGATAAATGTATCAAGCATTCAGCTCTATTAGCTTTAGTACTATAAATAATTTTATTTGAAACCAGCGTTTTAATTTACCAATTATAATTCAAATTTAAATTCGGGTAAGTTATTGTAATCGTCCAAAAATCGAAATTGAAAATTTTTACATTTCTTCACGTTTTGAAGGTTTCTGAACATTTTGGCATACCTCAGAAAACATGGATGTGTGTGTGTATGTATGTATGGACACAATTTTTCGTCCACGTTTTCGGGCGCACAGATCAACCGATTTGAATGGTTCAAAAAACATTCGATTCCTATTAATAGGGAGATGTGCGGATTAGGCAAAGGCAGGTCCAGCTGTTTTGAAGATACAGAGCAAAGAGTGCAGAAAATAGAAATCGCGTTTTTGAGAGATCGGAACATTCGATTTGAATAATCCAAAAAGCATTCAATTTGTAATGACGGGGAGAAGGGGTGATTAGCTTTTGGCAAGGGCAGGTCTAGCGGTTTCGAAGATACAGAGCTAAATGTGCAAAAATTGGCAGTTTTTGAGAGAACTAAGCGTCCGATTTGAATTATTCAAAGAACTTTCTGCTCGTTTTAACAAAATAATTGCTTACGGGAAAAAATTGTTTCAATTTTTTTTTCAAAAAAAATTTATTTTTTTGTATATAGATAATAATTCTGATTTTAATTGTAATTTTGACTTAAGTTCTAATATACTTTAAACAAATATCTTCAACTTTGCAGTTCAGTTTATATAATTTTTATAAATATTAGACAATGTCACAGTATTTATTTATAATACTATTTGAAAACATTTAATATTCTTCGAACATTTCGTTATGTACGGAAAGTTTCAGCAATTTGCCTTAAGGCACGATGCCATACACACCACTAGTATATTTTAAATTCGGAGATATTAATAAAGATCTAAACGAAAAGGCACTAATTAACTTCATATAATCAACATAAAAAAAAAAATAATCCATTGAGATTTTTAACATTTATTAAAGAATTACATTAACATTTATTTATTTACACTTAATAATAACTTAATAATTATACTTATTTAATACTATTTACATTTTTCATAGATTTTTATAGAAGCAAACGGTCAACATAATGCTCTACAATAATCTGAAATTATTTTTAATTTTATTTCTTTTCTATATTCCTTTGATTTTAAATTCATGATTAATTAATACTAAGACTTTACCAGTTAACAAAATTTCATCTGAATTTCATCGATCAGTAACAATTGACTGTAATCGTAGAATCCCGTAGCTTTCAATAAAGCTGTCCTTTGCAAAAAATTTCCAGTATGACAATTAACACCAATAGTCTTAAGCATATATTCACACTGTTGCAGGCTAAATTCAATTGCAAAAGTCTTCCAGAAAGTGTTCAACGTTATGGCAAATTGTTCATGTTGATATGGTATCATATTGACAGCATTTACAATTTTGCCGCATAAAGGCACTGTTTTTGACACAAAACAAGCTACAGAATTTTTGAACGAGTTTGAAGAATTGAATAGATTTTTATCCGCGACTTTTGTTATTGGACTAGACACTAGAAAAGTGTGCAAACTTCCAAGGAGATCGATTTGAGAATTTGAGAGGAAAGTGCCTTTATTTTCTTTTAAAATAATTGGTTTTTCAGGATTATTAGTTGTATCTTCTGCTTCAGTAGATTGTTGGTCATCTACATTTTTATTATCAAGAATGAATTTCAAATTCTTCATGTATTTTTCAATAGTCCAATACGTTTTCTTATTTTTGAAATTTTTTGTTACCTGATGCTGATTTATTCGTTTCGGTGAAGATAGTATAATTCGTTCTTTATTATTCAGTAACTTTTTGTGCGTTAATAAATAATTTCCTATATCTGATAACGACTTTAAACTGTTTAAATTCGGTACATTTTTTGAATTTATTTGAAGTCCTGTTTCTTGTAATGCTATTTTCTGAAGAGCATCTTCGTTCTTTTTTAAAGTGATTGAAACTTCGCCTTCACGTATTGAAGTTGCCTAAAAAAATAATAAACGATAAACATTAGAAATAAAAGGCAGTGTAGTTTGAAAAAGTATTACCAAATGTTATATAAATTATTACCATGTTTGTCGAATAAAGCTCAGCATTTGATGTTTCCATATTTTGAGAGTATGGATTAATTTTACGTGCCGATTGTAAACTATGTTCTATTTTAAACTCAACAATATTTTTTAATTTGGCATTAGCCGAAATACTACTTTGAGTATTATCATTCCTCTCATTTTTAACACGAATCATGGGTTTACGAATTACTTTTAATTTTGCTATATCATTTCCCATTCTATTATCCAAATGTTCAAGCAGGACACTTTGACTTTGACTTGTTTTTGGTGAAATTACAGTTCTTTCAGTTGCAGAATAATTTGGTGCGTGGTCATTTGTAGAATTTGTGCTAGGTTCTGCAACCAGAAGTGAACGATCAGAAGTCGGTACAATTATTATTTGATTAATGGCATCTGTGTCCAAAGAGAGACCACTAGTGCTTTTTGATGTTGTCTGATCATGTTCTGAAGGTATGCTAATGTTATCGGAATCGTTTTGAACATTTCCAGCAGATGATGTATTACGAACGAAATCTTGAGTACAATTTATGTTTTCAATATTTTGATCGATTGTTGATAACTCCATTGGTTTATTTATTAGACTGTATTTACTGGTTGAAGGTATTATGTGGTCTTTATTCACGACAACTTGATTCCTTTGCTCTATATAAGGTAGACGTTGTAGTTTAATACTTAGCGGTTTAAGATGTACAGAGTTTACAAAAATACCATTTTGTCTACGAATTTCTTCACTTGATGGTGCCATTCTATTTACAGCATTATAGGTATTTGCACAAGATGATCTAGAGGAGCTACTAGCTTGAGACGATGTATTATCCGAAGGATTGCTTAATATTTTATGGTTAGTAGTTAAATTTTTGACGTTGCTATTATTGTTCGGATTTTGTATGGTATTGACAGTAACTAGTCTAGTGACTGAAACATCGCCTTCACGTATTGAAGTTGCCTAAAAAAATAATAATAAATGATAAATATTAGAAATAAAAGACAGTGTAGTTTGAAAAAGTATTACCAATCTAGACGGAGCTTGATCATAAATGGAATTACTATTTAAATTATTATGTCCGGCAACACTTCGAGCTATACTGTGATTTGTTTCATGATTTCTTAATCTCAAAGCATCATTACGGGTTAATCGAATAAACGGATATGGTTTTAAATTTTGTCTTGTGTTTACTGATGTCTGTGATGATTGAGAAGCAACTGCTGATGGAATGGCAGTACATTGCTCTTGATTTTGTTCTAGTAATCCGTGGCATAATTTTTTGTGATTTATATTTACTCTAGGGTGCTGAATTGCATCTGCACTCTCAGAAGCAGCCCTCTTGGCATTGAGTTTAATATTTGATAGTGGAATAAGTGCAGGCATTGCATTTGTACTTTGATTACATTTTTTTGAAAGTGATGCACTATTACTAGCAGTGGTTATGGCATTATTAATAATATTACCATCATGTGCTATGCTTCGATTTTGAACAGATGATGCATTAAAGTTTCTCACTTGAGCGACTTGCGAAGTTTTACTATTGTTTATACAAGTACCATTTTCAGGATGCGTTATTTTACAAATTGTACCATTTTCGTTGGCCACAAAAGGACGTAAGGGAGTTTTTAACCATTTTCTTTCAATTTGTATTTTTAAAAATGACGGAGGGACAGACTTGGTAATTTTTCTAATGACATTCAACATTTTTGGCCTTCGTGGCCATCTGACTTCAACGCGGATATTTGGAGGCAGTACGTTCCTGACATCTTGAAGAAGAACGACGCCGCAGGAAGTTTCAGGCAGCATGCTTCTTGTATATCCTAAAATTCTGCACAAAAACAATATATGTCCAAACAACCAGCCGCTCACTGTTGTAACAGACATGTTCTTAGTAAACACCCTGTTCCTTAAGTGGAACACTGGCAAATATTTTTCATTGTCCTTTATCACATACGGAAGAAGCCCGTGACCGATTTGTACAAAACCGCATATATCATTGAGATAATTCTTGTCTGAGATAACTTTATCGCAGATTTTAAGAAAGTTATACATTTTCTCGCCATCTTCGACTCGAACTAATAAATCTAATTCCAAAAAGCTCGGGCCGTACGCCCTGTCGCAGTGTTTATTATTGATTTCGTTGTAAAGTTTACATTCTTTAGGAGTCATGTAAAAGCTTTCGACGGAAACGTAACTGTAAACCTCGGGATCAAAAATATAAAGAAATTGATCAAATACTATTGACTCGTATATTCTGACGGCACAATATTTAGTAGATCCACGGTAAATGTAAGGTATATAATTGCTGCCGATCAAGGCCCAGCCAAATTGGCCTTTGACGCTTCTAGAATCTATTGGATTTGTATCAACGATTCTATTCATTATAGAACACTTACAGCTGACTGCGTTGTTAGAACTGGTACCTGCCTGAGAGCTCGATAGATTTGCCTTGTTTGCAGCTTCCACCTGAGACATATTTTTATAGATTGTTGATCCACCAATTTATTGAAATAGTCCTTTGCACTAACGTGAAATAGATTCTTTATATATTTATTTTCAAATTGACAACGATAGTTTTTATTTTAAGTTTTTGGAAACAAAACAAAGTCAATATTCAAATGTTACTCGCTATACTTTCTTGCATTCATCATTCTTTTGTTTATAACAAAAATCATTTTTTTTTGTTTTTTAAACGCAGATATCGATGTAAAAAAATCCAAAAACAAAAATTCCAATAATAAACAAATGTAGCAGAAATTTGTAAATGTATTTTTAGTATTCTTTATTACAAGTATATTTTATGTTTTTATTTCATTTTAAATGTATATTTACTTTAGCACTTGTAAGAAATCAATCTTCTTCGCTTCTGATTAATTGTATCTTATTTAATTTAAATTATTTGACTTATTTTCAGGTTGAGCAAATAACAGCCGAGTACAAGGTTTTAGCTTTGCAATATCATCCGGACAAAAATGATGGTGACAAAGATGCCGAAGTGAAATTCCAAAAACTCAAGGTAAATTGATAAAAAAGATACTTATTAAATTCTAATTATGAAAGTTTAAAATCCCTCTTTTTAAATTCTTTCACAAATTACTGGAACAAAATTGAATTATTAATATTTATAAAATAAGTAATAATGTAATAAATGGAAACGAAACTAGGTATTTAAAATGTCATTTTAGAAGGCAGATCTTTTTCACAAAATGTACAATAATATTTATTTTACAAGAGGGAGTTTAAATTGCACGGGAGAATGACAAAACTCAGAAGACGGTAGCAATAAGAATATGAAGATTTAATTTAGGTATAAAAGTATATAAATTATATACTATATATCGAAATATATAGAAATATGTACGATACGAAATTCTCTCATAAATTATATTGACTTCCATCAGTAGCTCACCCGGGGTTATTTTATTACAACAGTATCTTCTTGTTGAACGACCATAAAAACCATGTTTGTATTTTAATTAAGACATATAATGTCTTGCGTAATATTATATATATATATATATATATATATATATATATATATATACTAACTGACCTGATAGACGTTGCCTTGAATCCACGTCTACACTTCAAAATTTTCAAATTTTTTAATACCCATTACTAAGGATTGTAATATCCTATTTATAGTCATTGCTTTTACTTATTTTAGAAATTTCAGTCTTTCAAATAATATAACGGATTCAGATGGAATTAGTAAAAAAAAACAATATCACCTTGGAATTTTACACCCAAAATAAATGCTTCAATAATGTTGCCCATAATTTTATTTATAACTAATCTCGCACCAATATTTAATTTTGGGGCTTTTAATTTTCTACGTAATATAATTGCTGAACCAATTTTAAATAATTTGTGCACCGGCAATATCAAGTTCATCTTGGCCATGTGTGCTATTCAATCATTAACTATTTCTAGCTTCAACTACTCAATCATGAACTAACTAAATATCAAATTGTCATTTTTGACACAACAGAACAAAATCCTAAATAATTTTTTGAATAAATAAAATAATTATTTTGTGTTTTGTTTTTAGTCAAGATTGCTTCATAATTTTACATAAAATAGAAATGAATTTTCCTCGATATGATTTTTTTTTGTATAACTCATATCTGAGTAGATAATTCAATATTTTTTCTTGAGATTACCACTTGTACGAGTGCATGAGAAATATAATATAAGCGCTTCTCGAGTATATTTCATTTACATTTCGAAATAAAATAAATGAGAATAAGAATTACAATATTTTTCGTTACACTAGAAAGTAATTTTTGTTTATATTCTCTGTTTTATTAATATTACAGTATGCTAAAGAAACATTATGCGACCCCGAGAGAAGGAGTAATTATGATAAATGGCGTAACAGTGGTATCGCCATCAGTTACAAGCAGTGGCTTGGGATGAAGGAACACGTGCACCAGGTAAAAAAAATTGTTACAATGAAAAATAAAAACTTCCCGAAGATGCTTGTTTTCGCGAAAAAATCCGATTTGCTAATTTCTTTTTTCTCAAAAACGGCTGGACCGATTTTTAAAATTCAAAAGCCATTTGATGTATGTCGATAAGGACTTTTATCTAAATATCTGAGTCTCAATTCTTATTGGTTGATTATATAAACGTATCGGAAAGTCAATGCAACTTGACTCAAAGCAAAATGCTACTTACAACTAATTTAAGGGGGTATTCTAGTGTAGAGCAATGAATTTTAGGTCATTTTTAAAGTGTCGTAAAAGAAAGCAATGACTGTTTTTACTATCCATTTTTTTACCACTTGTATATTAATATTATTAAAATACAATACAAAAATTAAAAAAAAAGGTGGAAAATTGAAAAAGCTGGCAGCTGATGAAGTGGAGGGTTTCAAAAAATTGGCACCTCAGTCTTGACATGATTTCAGCCCTCCTAGCCATCCGAAATAAAAGAAATAAAAATATTATTAATCTACAATGATGTCGCAATCGCCCGAACTAGCGATGACTAAAATTTTTTTTTTACAAACTGGCGACTGTTTGCAGAAAAAGTGTCTTCTCTTACTGTTTTTTTTTTAGTTTTTCGATTTTTTTAAATACAGTAAAAAGGAATTTGGGGATGATGCTAGTTCGGGCTACAGATAGGTCTATAAACAAGACTCTCTGAACATTTCAAGTGAATCGGTCTAGAAAAACTCGAGAAATCGTGTCAACAGTATTGAAAAATTATGTTCTGAGAAAAACGCATTTAAAGTTTTGCGTGAAGTTTTTTGCTGTCAAAGTCATAAAATGATATGTTATACTTCTTTTATTTAATTTGCCATTCCTGCTTCATGCATCGAACCTTCTACTACTTCAAAAAAACTATTTTCTGCATTTCTCTCTTCCAATCGAGCAGTACTAGCCTTCTTTGAAGTGTTGGATGTACGTATTTCAGATCGTTCAATCCGAGCATTGCCTCGTCTTACAGCAAATGAATGAGTTTCTGGACCAATTTGCATTACCATAAGGGTCATCATTTTTAAAATTGAAAAGAAACCTTTATTAAATATGCAAACAGCAATAAATGTTGCTATTTCAGTTACTCGAGATCGGGAATGAATATGTTTCGGTGCGAAAATCCAAATCAACGAGTTTAGAGATTCATTATTGTTCTTAGTTTCTGAACCTATACATCGAATTAATAATTCATCTGACGATAAACTGACATAAATTGGTCTAATGAGTTCCTAATGCCTTTTGTCCGATTAGACCCTGCCAAACCAGTTTGTAGACCGAGTAAAGAAGAGTATAAAATGCTTATATCTCCGAAAATAATTCAAAGTTTCAAAAATCTTCTCGTACCCGTATTCTTAGATAATTTAACTTTGAAAATATGAAACAAAAAAATTTGATTTTTTTAAATTCTAGATTAGAATATCCCCTTAAGTTGATTATATATACGTTTTGGAAAGTCAATGCAACTTGACTTAAGGCAAAATGATACTTAAAACTAGTTTAAAATATTTAGAGATGAACATTAGCAGTCAGGCCAAATTGAATTAAAATTTGGCAGAAAAAATGTGTTGGAAAATTTTTCTTGGCTGAATTTCATCATATTCAAAACATAATACACAAATTCATACAAAAGCATATATTATAGTTGCGCAGAAATCATCCCAATATCATAAACAATGAAACATAATATTCATGCAATTTATATTACAATCCAGTAATTCGATAACAACGAACACATTTTAACTAAACTAAAACTTGGATTATCTCTCGTCCTCCTGGTTGCCTCCAGCCATGTAATGACCCAGTTTCCTGTATCGCAAAATGTGACCATATTATTCTCTCGGGCGGAAGATGCAAGCCTCTTCTCGCGTGTAAACGCCCGGAGCGCGGGTGTGGGACTCCGGGTGCCCGCGGCCTGTAGCGATACACATTCACCTACCCACCTGCCCTTATCTCTCTGACCGCCCTGCGCTTGGATCGATTACCGGCACTCGCGATTTAAAGATAAAACCACGTTGCAGAATGAGATGATGCGATGCAGGTGTAATTAATACAAGGGATTATTATAATCACATTTGTATTAAATTGCAAATTTATATACACAATAATATTTTAAAATATGTAGTGAGCAAAATATGTGTCATCTAGAGATGGGTAACACACTCCGGAGTTATAACTCCGATACAACTCCTCCCTCGGAGTGAATCCGAGTGAAGTTGTCTTACAGGACTTGTCATATCCGATTTCCTTAAACTGGTACTAAATCTGTTAACATGTGCAGATATTTGCTTGATATTTTTTACTAATACAAAGATTTTGGTCGAAAGAAGTGGTCTTTTTCTCGTCTCACAGCCAGTTTTAGGACTTTCCAGGTATATAATGTTTCAAAATAATGCTATTTTGCATTCTATATTCTGTATACAATAATGTGTGTCCGTAAATCAGCTCTTTCAATGGTATACATCCAGCTAAAAAATATTTAGTATTATATTATAACTTTTACACAATTATGATTTTATAATTGTGTAAAAGTAACAGTATGCTAATCAAACTACCTGATGTATAATTAATTACCGAAAAGGAAATAATAAAAGAATGCGAGATATTATTATTTTGTAAAAAATGTTATAAACAAAGATTTATTCTCATTTCATATATGAGGTTCACTGCATTATTTTCATATGAAAATAAACATATTCAAAGAATTCTATATTTTCTCTTCAAAAATAATTACAAAATTGATTTTGATTCCCAGGTTTTTTGTCAATTTGAGATTTGTATGCATATTGAAATGCATAAAGTAGTAATTATTATAATAAAACTAGCAAACCCGACGAACTCCGTTTTGCCACCAGATGGTTTTGTGAGAAATATGAAGAAATTTTTTGTTTGTTTTATATTTGAAAAGGAAAAATTTGATTCTATTAAACAACAGTAATGTATTTATTTCGATTACAAAAATGAAGTGTTTTTTAGTTGAACTTCTCTAAGTAAATGAAAGTGAATCCGCAAATTATCCGTTTCATTGAAGTGCTCTTTGGTAAACCACATTTTTTGTTTTTTGGTCTGACGTTAAACAAACAAAGCGGATGGTTTTCCAACTCGTGAACAGGCAACGTATAACTGCCCATGTGAAAAACAATGATTTTCTAAGTAATCTATTTGAAATTTAACCCGCAAACACTAAGCTATTGGCCTGGCGACCTGTTAATCGTCATTGCGAACGCAAGGCGAACGGAAGACCAGTCAGAATCATTGGTTTGTCACCAAATCGCCAGCAATTTTTGATTGAATGGTGAAATTCAGTGCGTGTACATCATATTTGTTGGCGGCAAGAATTGCTCGTAGACTTAACCAAGCATAATTCTTAAAATTCTCACTAATGTCATTACTCGAATTTTTAATTACGGTGCGTGAAGTTCCAGCAATTTGCATTGAAGCACGATGTCATACACAACTAATTTTCTTAGCTATAAACCTTGCGGAGCCCGAGACCTTTCCAAAGAATGCAAAATTGTCGAAATCTGTTTGTGCGTCAGGAAGGAAAACCCGACTTATTTTTATATATATGTAGATGAACAAAAATGTTTGAACTATTTGTAAACAATTTCCAGTCTTAATAAATCCTTAGATATGTTAACAACACACTAGAGAACACATTTGTGTCCAGTATAATGTTTCAAAGTTGTCGGAGTTGTGGAGTTGTTAAGTGGATATAACTCCTCTCTGAAGCGGAGTCAAATCCTTACCGCTCCGGCTTCGGATATAATAAGCCTATCTCTAGTGTCATCCATAGTATAATGATAACTTTATGCAATTTACACTTTACACTTACATTCAATTTAACAAAAATAACAGAAGTAAATTTGCACAAAGCACATTTTCAATGTATGTTTAATAATCAAACATCTGTATATATGCAATCGCTTTTAATCATACGATCACGCGATGTGTTTAGAATAAATATCTTATTTACTTTTTGAGTCTTTGAGCATTTTCACTTAATAAATATCTTCGTAAAATATATTGATTGCTTGTACACTGTATAACAAATTTGTTTGTTCGTTTGCCAATTTCTTTCGACAACACGAATTACTTTGCACTGCGATAAATCCTCAGTACCAAATTAATATATAATTATATGGAATTGCAATAGAATAGTAATACTATAGACTTTTTATAAGAATTTATTCTCTGAGTTTTGTGGATCTAGTGCGTGTGTACCCATAAATATATTAAATCGTAGCGATCGAAAAGGCTCCAGCAATTCCGAATGAGAACGTGTTCTATTAAGTAAAAGCTTCAGTTCGTGATGTAAGATATTACGTCGGTGCTCCAGAAGAAAATGAAATCAAAGACAGGAAAAATAATTCCACGCGTTTCACTACATCTCATACATATCTGCACATACCTTTTTTTTACTGCATATGTATACTACACCTATTCCACCCACATACATTTCATTAATGATTATCTTCAATCGGATTTTAAAATAAAAATAATAAATGACTATATCGATATATAGTCATGAAAAAGTATTTGCCATCAAATAATTTAACAATATTTAAGTATGGTGATTTGTATATTTGTTATTTTCCTTGCTATTACTATTTTGATGCATTAGCATTTGTACGGAACTTTTGCTGGAAACCAAAGTTATAAGTTTGTATTCTAGACCAGGGCTTCTTAAAGTGGGGGTCGCGACCCCCAGGGGGGTCGCGGGACTACTAAAAAGGGGTCGCAAAGATCTGATACTTTACAATCATTATAAACAAAATTTTAAAATTAGTATTATTAGGCCGATAATTTTCACGATAATTTATGGCTTGTCAAGCTATGCTGTTTGGCCGATATTTTTGATAAAATCAATGATATGAATTTATCAATGCAGGGAGTATGCTTTAATATGTTTATGTTAAAAAATAAACTTGAGGCCTCTGTTAAAATAATTCTTATATGGAAAAACAGAATGGAAAGTGGATCGCTCGAAATGTTTCCATTTACTGACGAGTATATAATTAATAACAATATTTCAAAAATAAAATATCCCCTACTATTGGAAATGGCAATAAACAAATTACTGCCATTTTTGAGCAACATATTTATGAGAATCAGCCTTTTCCACATTAACTTACATAAAATCAAAATACCGTTCAACTTTAATAAACGTTGAAAATTTATCACGATCTAACTTATCTAATAATCAAATCTAACTCAAATTGAGCCTAGATTTAATTATTTGTGTAAAAATAAACAATCACATCCGTCACATTAATTTTGTACACACAATAAGCTTGATGTTAATAATATCTTTTCTTAGAAAAAATGTTACACAAGTTTATTTTTTTTATTGAATATATATATATATATATATATATATTTTTGAATAGTCTTGAATTTGATGTTGATATATATGTTTAATTTGAGTTTAATATTAGGGCGTAACATCAATAAAAATAGTATGAGTTTTTTTAAAAAATTTATTTATTTAAAATCCATACGTTTCGGCTAGCATCTTAGCCATCATTCAGTGGTAATCAAGTTAACTATAAAAATTGAAACTAAATAAATTATATGAAAGGAAATTTCATGGAAAAACAATAATAATAATAATAGTAGTAAAACACTTACAATTTTGTATCCTAATATAGCATATGAAACCATTATTAATCCATGGTATGAGTATGTGCACATTGATAAGATATGTATTTTTAACACAAACATCACAATTGGTAAAACACACTAATAATCATGATAACTTGACAAGTTGTCGAAACTATGTATTTACTCTTCGGAGTTTAGGATAGAAATGTCACAACTTTCTCAAAGTAGTTTTTAGCATGTGTTGATATTTTTTGGAAAATTTAAAAGGCGATGGGATTTTGTTATTTTTTAAGGAATTTTGACACGCTATTAAGAAACCACGTGTTCGCTTCGTTCAGGGCCGTATTGTCAAAGCGTTTGTTTATCACTTTGTCGTTATGTAATTGTAAAAACAACCCCTCAGCGAATCTTCTTTTAATTGTATTCTCTTCAAAATGTAAAATTTTAGGGTTAAAAAAATCGATATTGTGATTTAAATTTTTAAAAAAAGTTTTAAATGGTTTTTATATCACATTTACATACATGCAATATTATATTCATCTTTTTAAATATAATTTAGACTGCTATAAGCTGTAAACAAAAACTTTTCGAAAAATATATTGAAGAATTAAAAATTGGATTTATCTTTCGGGAATCTTGGCGGAATCAATTTAGAATTCCAAAACCGTTGAATGTGTTTTTTATATCACATTTGCAAACATACCCACATAGTATTACATTTATCATTTTGAATATCATTTCGACTATTATAAACTGCACGAGATATAATTCTGCTGTGCAGTATATCTAAACTTGAAGTTTATTCGAAGTTCTCCCTTCCCAGCATTTAAGCGCCGTAAGCCAATTACGTGCAGAATAGCAAATTAATTAAGACGTTTCACTTTGGATGTATCATAAATCAAGAATAATTAGCTTCAAAAAATTAATTTCTCACATGTGTCATTATCCCTTACCGAATTTTCAGTCGATGCATTGGAGCACCCCCAAGACCAAGGACCGCATGTTACCCGAGGCCGGAACCGGGTTGGGAGTGAACGCCCCTACCGCCGCCCTGCGTCGAGCGTCCGAAGGAGGCGCAGCCCTACATTACGGAAACAGACCAGCACATTGGGGAAACGAACCACCGAATGAAATTGCGGCCAAGTTCAGAAACTACGAGATTTAAATGAGTCCGAAATGCCAGCACGTTTCGTTAAATGAAAATGCGAATTAAATCGAACGTTGGAAATTTATTATAGGCCCTGCAGGTTCTATTTCGATTATATATCATTTAACCAGTTGACTGTGGCACACTTATTAAACTGACACACAGTTTTGTGTCATCAGAATCGAGATAAAATATTGATTTCAAATTAGAATATATGGTATAAGCACGTTACCAAGAAATGATGATTATTTATACAAAATGCAAATTTATTTTAATCATATATTCTAATTTTTATTTTCCAAATACGTTTTATTTACTTATGTTACAAAAACCATAAACATAAAACATAGGCCAATTATGAAGAACCTATTCAATTAAATGCAGATTGCTTTATTAGATCAAAACTAATTTCAAAATATACAGTTTTAATTGTTATGTTTTGGATTCAAGAGTATAATTTTATTTCTATGACTTACAGAACCCCTATAAATTTTTAATTTTAAATTTTTAAAATTCATTTGGCCTCGCTTATTCTGAGCATTTAGCCACCTATAGCATTTTATTTATTTACATTCCAATTTTTATATCATTTTCAATATATATATATATATATATATATATATATATATATAAGGTTGTCAAATATATCCCTTCCGCCTTTTTGTATTATAAACCAAGAGCAAAAAAGCGGAAGGGAGATATTTGACAACCTAATATATATATATATATATATATATATATATATATATATATATATATATGTATCCTATTCTATATTATTTTTATTTTTTCTTCTTATTTTCTTCAATTCTTGCTCTTTTCAAATTTCTAATTCTATTTAACTTCTAGCTTCATTCCATTTTTTTTTTCATTCTTTTAATTTCAGCTCAGTTCCAATATTTCTCTTCACGCTCCTAATACAATTCAGCTATTCGAACTCTGTTATTCCTATTTTTCTTAATTTTTATTCAAATTCTACTTAACAACACAATTTTTATTTGATTTAAATTTTTTTTCTATATTCTAAGTCAATGACAAGATTTGATCTGAAGATCCCTGACGTGTGAATCGAACATGCTACCAAGTGAGCTATGCTCGCCTCTGGTTTGACTTTCATCATTTTTCTATATTTTTATTTTATTTAATTTATTTATTAAAAATTAACTTATGACAATTTTCAGGGTTCAAGAATAATGTATTTAGAATGTAATGAGCACAAAAAGTGATTTCTAATTATTTTCGAGATGGTAAAGAGACCAAATTTTGTTCAGACTGAATGATATGGTAATATTATTGAAAAGCCACACAAAAAAGAAAAATTTATTGATTTATAAATACAATTTTAACTGAAGCTCAATTATTTCTAATGGATCTTTAATACAGGTTGGTGCCAAAGCATTATTTTTAATTGATGAAATGCATTTAAATAGGTTTCTTTTATGAGTATATAAGTATATACATTTTATAATATTAATGAAATACAACTGAAAAATGAAAGATTCTTTAATTTATATAAAATTTTAACTGGAGCTCAATTATTTGTGAAGAATCTTTAATACAGGGCTCAAGTTTAGTGCCGAGGCATGTATTTATTTGATGATATGCATTTAAAAGCTATCCTTAATAAATTATATAAAAAGATAGAATATAACTAAACATTAATTTACATAATATCATAAACTCAATGAAATTGTCAAGTAAATGTTCAAGTTTCAGTAATATATATGTGCATATCTGTATTTGATCACTGAATTACTGAATCACTTATTATATTTTACTTCAAATCAAATTCATATTGATGTAATAAATATGATATTTTTAAATATGCACATATCTATTTACATACATGTAACTATAACTATAACTATATCCCTTTCGATGTGATACTAGTCGATATGTTTCAATCATTTCCAAAAAATATTCAAGACCAAATCTATTTTTCTGTGAAACCTAACATATAAACATATAAATATATTCTTTGTATAACGAAAAAAGTCCCTCAAAGTCTTTTTGACCATTCCTGAAATGCTATTTTTAAATGTTTAGATGAATACTTTATGTAAGACTAGATATAAATACTTAAATATAATGTGCAATTAAATATAAGAAATTATATAAAATGCTGTCTTAATTGAAAAAATACATAATTGATTTTTCCTTAAAATAATTAAGTAATTAGTATCTTGTAAATTGTGATAATTAAACACAACAACATTTTGTTTTCACACTAGATGTGTTCGGTCAGTCGGAAAACTTTAATTTTAGGACAGCATTTAATAAAACAAATTGTATTGTAACATGTGTTCCCTTTCTCATATCTATTACTATCACAGGGTGAAATTTTCAAATCTTTTTTAATTATTTCACTAATTTTCATAACATTAAACTATTATATTGAATATAATTTAAAAAATGATGCATGTAATAACATGATGCATGTTTTTGTTTTGGAAAGATGAGTAAGTGATGAGATATTTGATTCGAACAGTTTATAAATTTGTTATTACTTATCCTAAGTATTTAGATGGTATGTTTTATAACTGTGCCTAATGTTCTTTAAAAAAAACTACAGAGTTCAAACTTAAAAAACGATTCTTGATTATTTCAATAATATACAAATAATTAAGATTAAAGGAGTTAACATCATCTAAATATATTAGTTCTATGATCTTGAAATATATTAGTTTAACTTATTATTAAGAAAAGAAATTTATTTGTTGAATGGAGTATGAAATGAATATTTTAAAAAGTACAAAATATTGGGTTATTAGGATTTTATTATTTATTAACTTGAAAAGTTATGATTGTTGTTCCAGTGAAGTTCTTCCAATTCTATTCTCATTAATGTAGAATTAAAACAGTGTAAAACACATATATAAAAATATATATCTATGTTTGAATAAAATGTTTAAAAGTAGGTTTAGCGCATTTACTGCACATCTTTAGTTAGTTTTGTCTTTTACAGTAAAATATTCATAAAATTCAAGTAATAATTTCAATTTATTAATGAATTATTGCGTTTAAGTATTAATTTTTTGCTTTATAAGTAATTAGATCTATATATATATATATATATATATATATATATATATATATATGTTTATCTATATATTTAAATATATATGTTGATAACAGCAATATACTTCTTAAACAGGCATCCATCCAGATAATACAAATAGGGGGAAAACTAAATAATGTTTCCAATACATTTTTCATTGAGTTCCATGTGTTTTGAGTCCGATTTTGATTCTTCTTTAGTGGATAAAACTACAAAAAATCATATAAGAAATAATATAAAAAAATTCAAATAATGTGTGTGGTAAGTTGTCTTAATTTTTTTTTTCATTAATTATTTTTTGTAGTGTCGTAAGTTATTTTTAATGTCTGTTTACCTCACTTTTTTAGATAAAAAGAAAATACTTCTTAAACAAGCATCCATTCAGTTAATAGAAATGGAAAGAAATTCAAATAATATTTCTAAAACTTTAATTTCAATATATTTAATTGATTTGAATATTTATGATTGTGAAATAATATAAAAATTATTAGCTTTATCATTAAATAACCGACAAAAATATTATATAGTAAGGTAACACTAGTGTTTAAAAATTACACAAACGAACTTTATAATTTTTTACTTCTACTTTATTATTTTACTTATTACATATATGCCATGATACAAATAAAATCAAAGTATGTGCATATATATGTATATATACGTATATATATATATATATATATATATATATATATATATATATATGGTAAAATTATTCTTGGGCATCCATCCAGTAATTAAAAACAGTTTTATTGAAGGAAAATGTTTTTATTTTGAACACATACGTTTCGGGTCTTGATTTGGCCCATTTTCAGTGCTACAATTAAATATTTCAGGGTTACAATTTAAAACAATATAAAATACACAATTACAGAAAAATATAAATAAAAACATGTATAAACATAAATCTAATCACTTACACGTACGCACACATTTTACTTGTTATTCAAACTCCAAACGGACAACATGTTTCGTTTGGAATAAGCTTGTATAAATTGTAACTCTGAAATATATAATTGTAGCACTGAAGATGGGTCAAATCAAGACCCGAAACGTATGTTTTCATAATAAAAACATTTTCCTCCAACAAAACTGTTTTTAATTACTGAGTGGATGCCCAAGAACAATTTTATCATATTATTTCACCATCTGAAGAAAACCCTAGCCTTATATATATATATATATATATATATATATATATATATAACCCTTTGACAAAATTTTGTCAAAGGGTTATATATATAAAGCGAGGTTTTTCTTCAGGTGGTGAGTTAACTCTACTATGAATTTTAAAATAACGTATTTAAATTTGTTTCATAAATAACGAATTATTTTTTCCATGAGCACATATATATACCTATTAATTATTCATCTAATACATCGATGTCTTACCGATCCAAAAAAACATACATTTTGCATTATAACGAACTTTTTTTTACCTCGAACTATTTTGGTAGCGCGGCCCGGAGGGGTGGGTTTTCTTACCCTTCGTTCACCCCGAGTTTGAGGGGTTTTCTTCGTCATAAAAACGCTCGGGGAGGGCGGAGCGAAATATCTGAAGCACGCGTTCTTTTCGAGATAAGTGAAGTCGCTTTCAAGTCAGTCGACGCTTGACCGCGTTAGAGCGTGCATCGACATAAAAGATAAATATAAAACAAATACTATATAAAATATAAACAATTTTAAAATTGTTTGTTATAAATAGTATTTTATCTAAAAACTGTGTTGAATACGAACATTATCGTATCGAATTTTGTGCTTGTTATTGATTTAAAATTGCATAAAATTCTTCGTATAAAACTTGTTGCAATATCAAATAGTTCGTGCATTTTTTTATTCTAATCAATTCATAAACTGATAAATATTAAAGCATATTTTTCACTGTGTTTAATTATTCAATTAGTTTTAATTTTGTGCTTAAATTATAATTTAAAAACTACATTTCGTATCGTGGTTTACAAAATATATCCGGAAGTGTCGTTGTTCACTTTAATTGCAATGGCCGTTATGATATGAACTACAATTGAAATAAAAGTCAAAGTGTTAATTCCAGTTAATAATAGTTAATTTATTGCTGTTTTATTTAATTTTTCTATTGCGACAAGTTGATATTCAATATTTTTTACAATCTCAATAATAACTATACCGCAGTGCTATTTTAGTTTTAAGTGCAGTTGAGATTCAACAAAATCTTAAGCAATTTTAATTGCACGGATTTTGGTAAAACTATTAGAAAGTGTCAGTTACTAGGTAATTGTTTAAAGGCGAACTTAAAAGAATCGGATCGAGTTCTAATGTTAGTGAAATTTGCGGTGTAATTATTTTGATCTTCCAAAATAAGGTACATACTTAGCTGTTTATGTAAAAGTATAAGTTCAAATGTAATTTTACTATTTATTTGCATGTTTTCTCTAACATATGGGTGTGATATTATTATCATTTATTTATTTCAGCCTAATGGCCTAGAAATACATCATTATCTTAAGCCACAATAATACTTTAAACCTACTTTATATTGGTTAAACCTACTTTATATTGGGTGTGATATTTTTAGGTTTTGTCGTTACTCGTTGCAACTGTCAATGTCTATTATTTTTGTAATGCGAATGGATTGAACTAATGAAAATAAATACAAGACATGTTATTTGCGATATGAACTATGAATTAATTAAAAATTAAGTTACCCTTTTTTATTATATTTTTTTTTTCGTTAAAGAACTGCGAACGAATGCGGGTTAAATTTAAAATTAAAAAATCGCGCTCACCAAGCGCTGGCAACTTCACTACGGATATCTAGTATAAATAGCCTATTATTTAAATAATGCGAATTTATTGAAATAATGAAAGTACACAATAGAAACTATTTTTGTCTTTATATTCAAGTTTGCGGAACATTTTTAATTCTCGATTTAATGGCGCGAATGCGCGGATGTTTGAAATTGGTAAAGCTGTATTTATGTTACAAACTACGAAACTAATTAAAATGTACGTCAAAGTGTTAATGAAGTTGCAGTTTTTTATTTGAATTAATTTTTTATTTAAAAATTTGCGAATGAATTGCGATTAGTACAAAATATGTTTATAATTATACAGTGCTATTTTATATTTAATTGCAGTTATAAAATCTTATAGATTTCTAATTGTAAAATTATTGAAAAGTATTAGTTTCAAATATAATCTTCAAAAAAAGAGTACGCGTAAGGTTCACACGCGATTGAAGTAAAACTTATTTGCTACTGTACAAAGTAGCAAATTTAATTTAAGTAAAAATAAATACATCATGTAACAATTTTGAATAATGTTTATTAGTAATATGGTAACACTCGTGATGCACACATTTATTAGTTTCAACCATTATACACATTTATATAATGATAAATTATAAATTATATATTTATAATAGCATTAAAAATATGTATAATATTTAAAAACAATAATGTAATTAAAGTCATACTTCAAATATGACATGATCGGTTTGTCATTGTAATTAGCATTTAGAAATGAACCTTCATTAGAGAAATTAAGTGATTACTGATTAATAAATTCTATAATATTCGTCCACACAGTAGATTATGTTAAACAACGCCTGAACAAATATTGTTTTCGCAACTTCACTCATCATGTAATTTGTGTTTGAAGAACTTCATGTAATTAAAATTAACATACATTCGTTGACTGCTTGTATTTTTTTTACTTTTTGCTGGCGATATAATCTCATTCTTTGAAAAACTATAATATCTGTCTTGCCTAAAAAATATTTTCGATTTTAATATCTTCAAGGATTTATAGAAACTACGAATAATATAGAAATAATTCCTAATCAATAAACTTACGCCGTACACCGCCCAAATGTTTAATTTGTTTTATTATTTTCAAGGTACAGGGTAAAAAAGGGTAACCTTAATTTTTGTTTCTCTATGCTGATTTTCTTGACGATATCGGTGCGCATGCAACGTTGATGTCGGTACGCACACAACGACAGATCTCTATTCACATACACGACGACTAATCACAATCGACCCGTATTTGATTGTACGGATTTACACCATAATCGCGCCTAAAGAAGTTTTACTTCAAAAACTTGTTAGTTAAATAGGTGGAGTAATAATTTGATTATTCAAAATAAGGCTAATACATAGTTATGTAAGTAAAACTCTAAGTTTCGGCATGATTTTATTATAGTGGTATAGATAATATTTTTGACTCTTGTCAGTGGACGTTGCATTCGCCAATGTCTATAATTTAAATAATACGCGTATGTATTGAAATAATGAAAGTACCTAATATTTTACAAATACAAACTATTTTTTGCTTATATATTCAAGTTTTTGTGGAACAATTTTAATTTTCGATTTAATGACGCGAATGTAAAAATTGGTCACACTATATTTGTCGAGGTGACGGCACAATAGAATGTAGGTCAGTTTTTCCAACATACCGGAATAATGAAATGCCAAAAAAAGTTTTTGAAATTAAAAAATATTGAATTGAATGAAAATGATTTGTATTTAGTTGTAGTAATACAAAATATATTTGTATTAACACTTTGCACTTTATTTATACTTTGATTTGTACATCACATTACACATTTTGATGATAGATTAACGTTTACATATTTGTTTTATTAGAATGCAAAATTTGTTGTCAATTATCTTTATACATATATGCATCAATATGTCTGTTATTTCTTAACTGTAATATTGTGTCGAAATGACAATCCGCCACAAGTCGTTTTACCGCGAATGTACTAACAGAGTTCTTTGCGGCGCAAAAAATCACCTAGTGCAAAAACGCTTTAATTATTATGAGAGAGACTCAGACAAAAACTTGCACTGTGGATAATTCGTAAATAAGAAATGTTATTCGCAACGCAACCGACCAAACGACTGAAAAAAACATAACTATAATAACTTTTACGTGGATTCATGTACCGATAAAAAATGGCCGTAATTACGATGAGCATTGGCGTGCCGCAGGAAATGAATTGGGGGCGAATTAAATGACTAAAGTAATATTTTGGTACATATTTAAGAGACGTATTTTTGACTAGATATAAGTGGCTTTTCGAGGTTTTATATTCATTAAATATTTATAATTAAACAGCACCATTTATAATAAATCATTAAACTTATATTGAAGTAAAACACATTTACATAAGATAAAACAATAGACTGTTGATTATATTATGAAGTCACATACACCATGTTAAATAATACATAGATGGCACATAGAATATTTATTACATATAGGAACATATATGCATAAACATAGCAGAGCCATAATTTTTAGCATCTACTTTCAACATAATTAACAGTCATGTATTATATTTCATACATTTATTTTTATTTTAGTTCCACAATATATTAAAACAACCTGTATATATAATTTGGAGACAATCATAGAAATAAAAAAACAATAAATAATGAACAATTTATTTATAAATTTTAAATAATCACAGAACTGTATATAAATAAATAGTTCATTATTTATTGTTCTTTTATTTCGACGATTGGCTGCAAATTAACACTCAAGAATAATAATGTATATATTGATTTTTACACGATTATGAATTTATATATAAACTCGGTTTGTTTGAAATTAGTAATACATTATAATAATGTATATATTGATTTACACACGATTTTAAATATGTTTTTGGGAGCACTGCGACAAAAAGTTAAATTTTGGCTCAAATACTTATTTTTCTATCTACTTTCAGATATTGTAGTTATGAAACTAGTAACTTTACTCGTTGAAGTAAAACTTATTTAGGCGCGACTAGGGTGTAAATCCGTACAAATGCAACGGAAATATCGTTACGTCCGGACTTTACGTCATTCGCTTTCGATGAAATCTATACGGGTCGATTGTGATTAGTTAACGGCATAAATAATTAAACATGTTAAAGTTACATCGTAGTACAAATCTTGATTTAATGAAAAATGCCTGAATCAGAAGAATATTTCACCCTGTTCCTTGAAAATAATAAAACAAATTAAACATTTGTGCCGTGTACTATACGTAAGTTCTTTGATGGAAAATTACTTCTATATTATTCGTAGTTTCTATAAATCTTTGAAGTTATTAAAATGGAAAATATTTTTTAGGCAGGACAGATATTACTGCTGTTCAAAGAATTAGATTATATCGCCAGCGAAAAAGTAAAAAAAATACAAGCAGTCAATGAATGTTTGTTAATTTTAATTACATGAAGTTCTTCAAACACAATTACACGATGAGTGAAGTTGCAAAAACAATATTTGTTTAGGCGTTGTTTAACATAATCCACAGTGTGAACGAATATTATAGAATTCATTAATCAGCAATTACTTTATTTCTCTAATGAAAGTTCATTTCCAAATGCTAATTACAATGACAAACCGATCATGTCATTTTTGAAGTATGACTTTAATTACAATATTGTCTTTAAATATCATACATATTTTTAATGCTATTATAAATATATAATATTATAATATATCATTATATAAATATGTATGTATAATGGGTGTGCATCACAAGTGTTACCATATTACTAATAAACATTATTCAAAATTGTTATATGATGTATTTATTTTTAATTAAATGCCATCTTGTGCAGTAGCAAATAAGTTTTACTTCAATCGCGTGTGAACCTTACGCGCACTTTTTTTTGAGATATTGGTACCTTTATTTTATTTATACTATACTACAAACTTTAACAGTTTAATTAATATTATATTTTCAAACTTTAGGTAAATAATCAAATTATATTTGATGTGCTGTTCCGTGATCGATATGGAGGAGGCGACTGAAGCGTCGTCCAGGACCACGACACCAGACATCGTTTCGCGTGAGGTCACGCCGTCAAATGCGGCGCACGGAACACTAGGACAACCAAACCCAGCTGCACCAGGAAAGATCACTAGCAGGAATGCAAATAGTACAAGTAAGTCGAATTTGATAAGCAGTTTAATGAAAAAACTCTATTATGAAAGGGTATTAAGAAAAAATAGTTATTTATAGCAAAAATATCTAGATACACACATTATATGAAGTTGAAGATGTGGTATTTATTCCAAAAATACCGGTATTTTTGGTATTCTTACATAAGCGCTATTTGATACATAATACCCCAAAGTTTAAATTTCTCGGAACAAATTTATCTTTAAATTCCATAATCGCATAAACAGCTATATCTTCAAGTGATTCTATAAGATAAACAAATGTCAAATATTATCTCAACTCGTCATTAAACTGAATATTTATTGCTTTCCGAAGGGCTTTATATCGTGTTATAATAATTAGAATTCTACTGATAGATAATGATGTTTTTTTCATCTATTGTTAAAATGCAACGGTTTTTTAAGTGATATTTGCGCCAAAATATTTTATATCATACAGATTACCTCTGCGTAATCTTTATTTCTTTCTAACTTTATACATAATTATTATGATAATTACTAAATATTTTTGCTTCTTATTACAATTATAAAATATTATTTTTCGAAAACGTTTCGAAGTTTGAAAATACTATAGAAGTAGAATACTATAGAAATAACAATACTCAACAATTACAGTAACTTATTATTTATCTCGACAAAGAATCCGATCTTAAATTAGTGTAGAAAAATTATTTTTTTAAAATATTGGAGATTATGCTAATTTAACACATCGGATACAGACAATACAGTTTATTATAATAATGTAATATGATCTTTTATGAGTTTTTGGTCATTCTTACTCCTAAGTTTGTTTTTGGTGAAAAGTACTCAATATACTCGATAGTGACAATGAATTAATTAAATTGCATATACTTTTGTTAAATTATTATTTAAAAAAATAAACTTATTATTTTATTTTATTGTTTAGTTGAATATAGTTGTATATACATTTTTTTATATTTGTACTAGTAACTTTCAATTTTGTTCACGTTTGTTTAAGATAATAAAAATACCGGTAATTTACTGGTATTCCGGTTTTAAAATGAAAAATTATCGAAATACCGGTATTAAAATTTTCTATCGATATTGCATTCCCTAGTAATAATTTAATTTAACAACTGATTGTCATAAGGCTTGACGCCCCACTGAATATATGAAATTATTTGTATGGTAATAAGTTGGTAGGTAAAATTGTTACCATCGAAAATTAAATATGTATATTATCCGAAAACTAATCTTTAGTTTTGTTTCTCAATTTTTTATATTGTAACCAATTTCTTCTTGCTACGACCAATATTACGATTGGGACTTTTTACAAACATTCGTAATTTGAATTTCTTATATATCTTCAATAAAAAGTGATTACTCGGTTCTTTCGAACGAGAAAAACTGTTGCCAGAGCGAACGCTATTAAAATGCACAAATCGAAAAATTAAAAAAACTTAAAGTTAAGAGGTACAGGAAATTATTAATGAAAATCCTGCACGCTCAAATATTCATATGCATTTTGAATTAGACACATAAATTTATTTAAGATTGAATATGTTATATGTATATGGTATGTCCCAATAATGTTTAAAGTGAAATGAATCAAAGATTTTGTTGGGATGTTATATTAATTGTAAAACAACTCAAAACACTTTTCTTATTAATTTTTTTAAAACAACAGAGAAAAATGCTAAATATTCCTTTTTCAAAATAATTAAAGTGATCACTGTAATATTCATCAGCCTTTCTCAAATTTGTCAAAAAATCGGTGCAATTTAAATGCAGCTTTTTTCTGGTTATAATTACTTTTTTAAATTAAAAGTACAGATAATTAATATAATTCATTTGGTGATTATTACTAAAATTTCCACAATATTAGAATAAATGGCCAAAACTGGAATATGAATAGTAACTAAATAAATAACCAGTAAAGTATTTTTAGAATTCATTAATTTTGTTAGAAATAAAATTAGATAGTAAGAAATTGATATCTAAATATCAAAAATAAGAAATGTTTATTTAGGGTACTAAAACATTCTTCGTTTCAATATTTATCATTTTTTCTTTCGGTTTTAGAATGAAATTCAGAAATAAGTCAGCTTTTCTTTAAAAGTACGTTATTATAACCTGCATTCTAGACTAATTAATTGATATATTCATATATTTTTGAATAACGTTTATGATTATTTAAGTAGTTTGTCTGTTAAGTTCGATTCCACAAAATGTTCCTCACATGCCATATAAAGTACCTTTTTCTTCTCCATCTAAAGACGGCGGTAAATTTTACTCCCGTGCGGTAAAAACTTTGAAATTTTTTACCGCAGCCGGAGAGCTGCGCAACGAGAATGATTTAAATACGGTGTATTGCAGACGGACGGTAAAAAACTTACGTATATACTTGTTTTTATATTGACGAGCTTTCCAGTTTCATCACACATGCGATTGTGTATGTGAGGCTGATTATATAAATACGAGATAGTAGGATAGAAAAAAATAGAGTTTTTTACATGACTTTTTTATTGATTAATGTTAATGTAATTTCGTAATCGAAGTCTGTGTTCAATCTCTTGATAGCAATGGTGGTAATAGTAATATGAATATCGAACTTCTTAATATTTGAAAATATGTACCAATCAATCTGTTGCTTAAAAGTACCAGATAATATAAATTCTTGTTTCATTCAATTTCTTGCCCTAACACTAGATATAACAACAATATTTGAAAGTAGGGGTAAAAAGATGTATAACCAGCTATAACCTTGATTCTCATGACACTGCTATCGGGCGTTAATCTTTGAAAATCCATAATAAATGTATTTTGTTCCGTTGATAGCATTAGTTAAAAGTGTAATTATTTTGTAAAATACCTTTAACATTAAAATATGACATTAAACCTGTTTTCCACCTGGCCGTTCCAAGTTACCCCGCCTATAGGGTAAAAAAGTCGAGATAACAAATTTTTGAAAGACATCAAAAAAGCACATTTCTACAATGATGAATTAGCTGCCAGTTTTACTGAACGTAGTCAGATAACTGTTTGTTTGAAATGTGTTATGTGATGGGATATAATTGGTTTTTTTTTCATATCATTTTCATAATATAGTTTATATATGCTCAAAGTTAAATTGGACCTTAATGCCTCGCTCTGCTCTACATATATACTTTTTATTAAATTTACTTTAATTCATCGAATGTTACTTGAAACTTTTCAAAAAGCAGGTTAAAGAAGAAATACTTAATTCATTTTCTATCTCTCCTCGCAGAAATTTGAAAATTTTGTATAAGCTCAGTAGTATTATTTACAATTATACACAAAATACAGAATCCAAAAAGAATCCGAAAAACTTGAAACGTAATCAATAAGTCGAAAGACCAAAAAGACTTGGATTGGATTATACCATGTTTTCTATAGAAAGTGTATAAAACTTCCAGTTTGTTTGTATTGACAAAATATAGACAAACTAATAGGGTTTATAATACCTCATTGTATATAGCATTCAAACAACACATACTTATACACTTAAAGTATTAATATTTTGATTCTCTAGAAATTGTTTAGAATATACCTTACTTAGCAAAACAACGTTTGCCGGGTCAGCTAGTATACATATTTAGATGCAGTCATATTTTTTTTAGTAGCGAGTTTAATTAACAATAATAATATATATGTTTTTGTACATGCCAGAGTGTTGGATGTTTTTATTCTTATATTACATACGGATATCTATATTTATATATTAGATATATATATATATATATATATATATATATACATATATACTCTCTAGAGTTAATTAGCAAAAAACATTTGGGTATACAAAAAAACGTATTTAAGTGTATATACAATTTACTGATATATACATATGCATTAATATTCAATTTTTCTTTCTAATTGAAACCATCATTAAGTCTAGATATTTTTTTAGAGAACTTTTTATTGAAAAATGTGAAAATAAAACAAATCTTGGAGAATGTACATAGTCCATAAAACAAAAACTTTTCGGAATATTATATATAAAAATTTTGTTCTAAATTTTAGTAAAACCGGATAACATTTGTCTTTCAACAAATGCATTAGAATTGTTGATAAATACAACCGCTTAGCTTAGAATTAATAACTATTTTTATTCATATTTTCAATAATTATTGTCTAATATCAAAATATTATAATTTTACATACACAATCTCTATTCAAAACGTCTTTTTATATTTTTTTTATCTCTTTCAACCGCAAACAAATTTAATTCAAAGGATTATTTGCTTGAACTCATAAAGAGATCCATTTATCAAAAGGATTTTAATCTTTTTTCTTTGATCTTCATTTTGGAATTATAAAAGTATTGCTTTTGTGCTTTATGAAGTAAAGAATAGCGGTAAGATTTTGATAAAAGTCAAAATATAAAACATTATTTATGAATATTTAATTCAAATGAAGGCAAGGGTGAAAACATCTGCCAAGAAGGAATGATTATTTTATTGTTGGAGGTTTTTTGCTTTGAAGATAATAAATTTTAAATAAAACATATAAAAAAACGTTATCGCGCAAATAAACGTTATCTTATTCGTAAAATATATATAAATTTGTTATGAGGATATTTGAAGTCTACGTTGTATTTCCATTACCCAAAGAATTATTTTTCAAAACACACCCCTTGTTTGCAGGGTCTAAATTTGTTGATGGCGATTGGCTACAGTGAAAAAGACCCTAGGTATTTTTTTTATTCAAATTTTATTTTTTGATCGAGTAGAATTGTACTTAAATTGCAATGTGCTGTATATAGTTCCTGCTCATTGTATTCATACATAGTACTGCCCTAAAGAACTACCCCTGTAGGTAACCCTAGGGAAGTAAAGGATTTATATATATATATATATATATATATATATATATATATGTATGTATATATATATATGGAAACAAAAATATATGAAATTTTGCTGGATTTTTAATTTTTAGTTATATTTACTGAACCAGTCTCAAATTTACTAATCATTACTTAAATATTTTTTACATTCGT